CTCGGTTCAAAGCAAGGTGGAAAAGTACTTAGATCTTATACTTAAGTAGAAGTAGTAGTACCAGGTCAGAGTGTTTGTGTTGGGTAATCTATGGTAGGGCTAACCCACACAGTGGTGGTGCTCAAGTCAGTATTTGCAATGTAATTACATACACGCTATATCGCCCCCTTGACAGTGAAACGCCACGCGTGAGGTTTAGATTATTTCCCTGTCTCAATCCAAATGGAACTGTATGAAATAAAACGGCACATTTGTCTTGTAGTAAATAAAAAGGGATCCCTGTGAACGTGACGTATGATAGTACACGTTGAAGATCCAATGGGGATACTGAATGTCTCATCAGTAAGGCATGACGCAGACCCAACGTTTCGTTGCTCTGATTGGCTGTAGGTCTATTTAGATTGCATTCGGAGGCATTATGATCTGACCCCGGCCGTGCTGATATTATAACGCCAGAGAATTTCCACACCTTTAGTGAATAAAACTCCCCACTTCTTAGACTATTCCTTGCACCCCTCTTCTAGCATAAGCCCGAATGGTCTCAACCATATTGCATCAGTAACGTGCACTTGTTACTCGTGATGGGAATTCCGGCTCTTCTTGGTGAGCCGGATCATTTGGCTCGGCTCACCAAGAAGAGCCGGCTCTTTCGGCTCCCAAACGGCTCTTCAGTTTACCACATATTATACCTTTTAATGAAATCAAATGTAGCCCTGTTTTGACTAATGATTTATATGTGTACACATATATCACTTAAATTATTCAATACATCCTTTGTACTGAAGTATTCAAAAGTAAAAATGACATGTTTAATATAAATGATTTGCTGTGGCCAAATGTTTTCATTGCATTTACAGACCCTTAACTCTCTGAGACCACCCAATTAATGCACTGACTTGCTTGTAGAACCACGCTACACAAAACAGATAGCAACACCTATAAAAACGTAATCATAGATATTTAAAAAAGGGGCTACTGTATCGACATTTTAAAATGATATTTAAAGAAAAGGCCCTGACAACAGCAGGGCTCTATTTCAGTAACTATTAACTATAGAAAAAAAGACAGCAACAGCTGACAACCAATCTTTGCTGAGCCTAAGGATAATCATAAATAAATAACATAATGAAAATAAATATATTGCAATGCTCAAAGCAGCAGCACCCAACCGTCTCTAATCCTTAGATATGACATGTCACTGCATTCATGCACGGAGCAGCTGTAGCGCGGAGATCATCGTATCATTCTGTCTTGTATTACTTAACAACAAAACAAAACGGCTCGTTCGCGGGCGCGAGCCGACACATCACTAGTTGTTACAGCAGGATCAGTTTGTGTGTTGTGGACACGACCCGTAGATTTTCGCAAGCCGTTTTCTCAACATTTAGCATTTTGCTTATTATTTAATTTAATTTGCTTAATTTAACATCATTTTTCATGGTGGGGCTGTAGCTACCCAGCGCCGCCACTGGTACCAGGCTGTAGGAATACTCTGTTACAAGTAAAGTAAGTCCTGCATTCAAAGTGTTACTCAAGTCAAATTAGATATGAAATATAGTGAAAGTAAAAGTAGTCGTTGTGCAGATTGGTCCATTTCAGAATAATATATATGATATGTTTTATAATGATTGATCATGAAAGTGTTCTCAAAGCTGGTAAAGGTGCAGCTAGTTTGAATGACTTTGTAGACTGCAGGGTAGCTGGTGGATTTACTCCAGGTGGAACTAAAGTCTGATTTAACACTTGGTTAGATTTCACATCATTCATCCAGATCTGTGAAGTAACTAAAGGTATTAAATACATGTAGTGGAGGAGAAGTACACCATTTACCTCTGAACTGTAGTGGGGTAGAAGTACTGTACACCATGTACCTCTGAACTGTAGTGGAGTAGAAGTAAAAAGTACCTCAAAATGGTGCTTATTTAGAGTAAATCTACTTAGTTACTTTACACTATTCAAAACTGGATGTATTCATCAGATCAGGAAGCAGACTCCATGATAACACTTGAGTAGGAGCCATGCACCTGCCTGTTATCCATCACATAGTAAACATGGATTTGAATGGTCACTCAACAGATCCTAAAGAAACCTGCTATTGCTCTGAGCTTTATGTGACTAAATGTAAGATGCCATTTGTTCTTGTAATGAAACAGTTAATCAGAACTCGCAGTCTGTGCACCGTCTCTCAGGTGAGGTGCAGATATTCGACCTGGGCCGCAGGTCCCTGAGGCCGGCAGCCACCATCGAGGGGGGGACAGACCAACCGGCAACCTGTCTGGCCTTCAACCATCGGAACCCCCACCTGCTGGCTGTGGGGAGGACAGACGGGAGCGTGGGCATCTGGCAGCTGAGCCACGATCTGACGGAGCAGGGCCCCCGAGAGAGCAGCCAGCTGGAGCAGATAGCCAATCAGGTGGCAGAATGACTCGCTGCATAGGACTGATGTATATGAACTGTGTCTTCAAGACGAAAAATGAAATAAAAACAGGAGGCGATGATTCCAGTTCTAACCAGTAGCGTTTATTAAAGCACACTGCAGTTGTTGGTGTTACTAACAACATTAGTTTGACTATTAGGTTCTTAAATTCATCGAAAGCACAAGCTAAGTCAGCTAAAAACAATCACATTCAAATGTAGACGGATCCACTAAAGAGTTAAAGTAGAGCAGATAAATAGAGGACAGACAGTTGTTATAGTGAGTATTCCTAGTGCCAGTCATGCAGTTTCAGCCGTGTGTTTGTGTTGAAGTGTGTGGGGGGGAAAACGCGTCCCGATTGGTCCCTGGGGGGCAGGGATCAGTTGACAAAGAGCGAGCGGGTGAATTCAACGAAGTCGAAGGCTGAGGGCAGCTCGCGGCCCTTGCTGTCGAGGTAGGGCTTCATGTGTGACAGGCAGTAGTCGGCCTGCTCCTTGGTCAGGTTCTGAAACAGAGAGGGACAGTTAGAGCCACTGGTCCACACACACACTGGTCCCCACACACACACTGGTCCACACACACACTGGTCCCCACACTGGTCCCCACACACACACTGGTCCACACACTGGTCCACACACACTGGTCCACACACTGGTCCACACACACTGGTCCCCACACACACACTGGTCCACACACACTGGTCCACACACACTGGTCCCCACACACTGGTCCACACACACTGGTCCCCACACACACACACTGGTCCACACACACACTGGTCCCCACACACTGGTCCCCACACACTGGTCCACACACACTGGTCCCCACACACACTGGTCCACACACACACTGGTCCCCACACACACTGGTCCACACACACTGGTCCCCACACACTGGTCCACACACACTGGTCCCCACACACACACACTGGTCCACACACACTGGTCCCCACACACTGGTCCCCACACACACACACTGGTCCACACACACTGGTCCACAGAGAGAGCAGAACACATCCCACCTGGAAGAGCTCCTCTTTAGTGACGTAGGGTTTGGCCTCTGTGCTGAGGGCCCGGAAGGCGCTCTCTATCTCCTCACTGGACTTAACGTTCTCGGTCTCTCGGCTGATCATGAAGGCCATGTACTCCTGCAGCGACACGTTGCCATCCCTGCACACACACATTCCTCTGTTAGCATTCCTTTATTCGTCCCACAGAGGGACATTGACATTGTTACAGCAAAAGTAAAGAGCCAGAAATAGCTACATATTAATGAAGAGGCATGCATACAATATTAAAGAGAAGAATAGTAATTACACTAATTACAATTTACAAAATACACATCCAGTGGCAGTAAAAGTATTGTTTTTGTATGTATAAAGTAGTGGGATAGCAGCCAGTTGACAGTATTACAACCCAAAGTGTATATATGGCAATTATTTACAGACTGATTACAGATGTTGAATTGTCCAGGAGACAGCAGCCAGTAATATTAATACCAACACTAATGATAGTATAGTAACTCTAGTTATGTGTGGTGGTCTACCAGGGGCCATATCAGCCAATAGCACAGTGTGTCCCTATCAATGTTTCCTGACCCGGGGACAGACCTGTTGGGATCCACAGTGTCGAGTATGGCCTCAAACTCGGGATCAGGTTCCCCCTCCTCCACCATGGGCAGGTCGTAGCCCAGCGAGCGCAGACACGACTTGAACTCCTGGTGGTTCAGACGGCCAGACTTCTCCTTGTCGAAATGCCTGCAGAGGAACAGGAGGAGAGGAGGATCAGAGACAGACTGATGAGGACATCATGAGGTCCGTTCCAGACATCTCGTCATAGACGGCATAGTTTATCAGTGTTCCTTCATCCAATGAACACTGGTCAGGTCACTTACTTGAACATCATGCTGAACTCCTTCAGAGCCTCCTCCGTCACTCCGGTGGTGTTCCTGAAACAAAGATGGAGGCAAATGAGCTCCAGCTGCATGATCCGTTTGATTACATTTGGTAACACACCTACAACTAGGGATGGGTACGAGCCCCGATATTAAACAGGGCCCCGGGGCTGAATGATTACAGACCGTGGTGCCGTTAAGCTCCGCCGTTAGCGGTCTTTTTATCGGTACTGGAGACATTTGAAAACTATGTCATATCATGTTGCTACATAAACATTATATTGCAGTTTTAGTTTCACCAACTCAGTTTCTAATGTGCAATAAGACAAAAAAATGCATCTATGATGTATTTTCGATCTTTCCAATCCAGACGAGAGATCTCTCTCTCTCCCCCGTCTGTGTGCGAGGGGGCGGGGCGGTTTACACACACGCAGCTGCTACATGCAGCAACACACTGCGGAGATGGCGGAGAGAACTAAGCGCTCAGAGGTGTGGTTAAATGTTACCCGTCTCGATGTGGACAATGCTCGTTGCCAAAAGTGCAATAAGAGTTTAGCATGTGAGGGCGGGAACACGAGCAGTTTGTCTAAACATTTAGCAAAAGTGCTCCACATCCAGACGGAGGAATGTACCGACTGTCTTTCTAGTAGCGCTGGAGCCTCATCCACGTCAGGTGTTATGTATCCTTAATCTTCCTCCAGAAGAACCCTTAGGCCTTTAGCAGCATACCTGTGTTGCTCTGTACCACTGTGTTTATGCAGCACATTTCTTTACTTCATTTACCTTCTCTTTTCTCTCCAAAAGAACCGATAAGAGTACCGTTGAAGGACCGGATTGATAAGCGCTATCGATTCAAGTAGTAATACCGTTAAAACCTTAACGATACCCATCCCTACCTACAGCAGAGCTGGGATAAGTACCCAGATCTTTTACTTAAGTAATTGTAGCAATACAACATTGTAAAAATACTCTGTTACAAGTATAGTCCTGCATTCAGACGTGTACTCAAGGAAAAGTACAAAAGTATTAGCATCAAAAAATAGTACAAAAAGTAAATGTACTCATTTGCCAGATTTAAACAAATAACATGTTTGTGTTATAATTATGAATGCCTTAATGTCTTGTTCACTTGGTTGGGGATTATTTAAATGGCTATACTGTTGAGTAGCCTAACCCATAATAATACATAATGATTTATATTCTGTATTATAGATGCATACATGTAAACAAATGAGTTAAAAGTATAAAGTACATGAAAATACTCAAATGAGTACAGATGCATCCAAATTGGACTTAAATGCAGTGCATGAGTAAATGTGCTTAGTCACTTTCCACCACTGAAGTGTGTGTGCAGTGGGTGTGTACCTGGCCTGGATCTGCTGCTCCAGGTTGTGCTGCATCCTCATCCCCAGCTGGTCCAGCTGGTCCCACTGCTGGGCCAGCCCCACCGTGCTGTGCTCGGTGTACTTGTTGTCCAGGATCAGCGCTTCCTCCATCGCTGCTCCCAGGTCTTCTATCTTCTTCAGCTGGCTGCGCATGGCCCGGATCTCCTGGTGCTTACGCTGCACACACACACACACACACACACACACACACACACACACACACACACACACACACACACACACACACACACACACACACACACACACACACACACACACACACACACACACACACACACACACACACACACACACACACACACACACACACACACACACACACACACACACACACACACACACACACACACACACACACACACACACACACACACACACACACACACACACACACACACACACACACACACACACACACACACACACACACACACACACACACACACACACACACACACACACACACACAGAGAGAGAGAGATGACCAAAACGTGCCACATATGGTTTATCCTTTACCTCAGCTCACAATTCAGCTGATTAAAGTCCAGAGGCTCGTCTCAATTGAATATCTCACCTCCTCCTTTCCCTCACTCGCGTCCCTTCCTTGCATCTTAGCTCCGCCTCCGTAAGATGCGAGCGAGGGACACGAGGAGGTGACGCGAGGACAGAGGAGTCCTCAGGTATTAATTGGGACGTCCTCGTTCACTCAAACGTCTGTTAATGATGACGTGCACAGCTGTATCCCCTCTCATCGGGCTGAACTGAAGAACCTTTAGAACCGGCCCATTTCTGGTTAAATATTTATTTAAATGAATCTTTCTCTTGTTAGTCAAGGAATTCAATGTATGATGGTTGGTCCTGCTTTTGTGTTCCGTTGTGGTGTAAAATGTACATTTCAATAAAATTATAATTATAATAATGTGAAAGCCTTTACGCCCCACATTCACCACATTCAGGACTGTGAATTTGAAATATTCAGCTATTGGGACGTCCTTCAAAATGGCGTGTCTTGATCGATTTCCGGGTCTAGTCCCGAGGAGGGGAAGAGAGGAGTCGAGGAGGGGTATTGAGACGAGCCTCAGGTCTTTGACTGCATGTCCCCTGGGAATGACAGCATGCAGCAGTGAGCGATGCTCACCTTGGTGGCCTCCAGCTGGGACTCCAGGGTTCCAGACTCTTCCACCATACACGACCTGCCGGCAACACAACGTGACGTCAGAGAGGAAGCAGCCTTATAAACTATAACGACTTCAACTCTTCACTAAAACCTTTATGCTACCATGATAGCAATTCACTTCTGAAAATAAAATAAACTATTCTAGAGTGTCTCATTTGGCATTTGTTGCAATTCCAACATGTACATTCTGCCACAGAGCTGCATTCATGCCAACAATCCACTGTGAGCCATGCAGCTGCACTACATTATCCTCAGTTCATGAACATGAAGTCACTGCACATATGCTTAGCACGCATACACAATGACCCCATGGGACCAAATACTATTACAAGTTAAAAGTGCGTGCCAATATTTCAGTGTTTCCATCAGTGAAGTACACAAAGTAAACAGGGGGACAGCCTGCTGTGTGTGTGTGTGGGCTCAGTGAGTATTCGTACAGCAGGAAGTGCTGAGCCTGCAGAGTAATGATGTCACAGCCCTGAGGCGTGGGTCAGAAACAGGAAACAGAGCTAGAGGTTGGTACTGAAAGACACAGATAACCCGCCGATAGGCTATGCTTTTCAGAGAGGGGGGGGCAGAGATGAAATCTGACAAATAAATAATCGAGC